ATATATATATATATATATGTTTATTTGTCTTCATTGAAATAATTGAGTTCCACAGCACTGGACTTTCAATTATTGGTATACTAGTCTCTAAATCATGAGGCATATCTCCTACCACCATGTATTCTGTCTTTTGTACATTTATTTCCATTCCTCATTTTCCATACTCTTGTACTAATTTTCTGAACATATAAGTTCATCTTCTGTTGCAATTTTCACAAACACCAGTGTATATTTTCACAAACACCTGAATGACAAAAGGAGAAATTCACGAATTATATTCCGACGTGGTGAGAGGTGAAAAATTATTTCAGTACTTCAGGATGTCTCATGATGCGTTTAAAGCTCAATTGAATTTTTTGAAAAAATAAAAATATTTTGGCATGTATTGTAACTGTATACAATTAAATTGAACTAAGAGACACAATCATAATTGGATTATTTTATATGAAAATGTAAGAAAATAATAGAAGACAATTTTCACTAATAAGACACACAAAAATAATTTACATTGATTAATAAATTAATGTATTATTCCAAAAAATGGAATACTTTATTCACCAAGCGCAAATATATTTAGTTTCTCTGTAATTGTACGTATGTACCCAGTTGCCCTGTACAGTACTGTATTGTAATTGTATTTTTCTTATAAATATCTAATATTTTAAATTTGGCAAATGTTACACCTTGATGCTGATAGTTTAGCTAACCATCTAAATAACACTTTCTAGTGTAAAGTAATATATTAAATAAAATGCACAACTCGGGATAATTCCGGATGAACACAAATATATTGGACTCTTAGATGTTTGTTCCACACACTTCACCTAACATCCCATCTGAAACGGCAGAGCAAAAAACAAACCTGATACACATGCCGATAATGTCATCAGAATTGTTGCAATGTCCAGAAGATCTTTCCTTTGGACTTTTCGGAAACAAAGAAAGCTGCAGATCGTCCCACTCCGACCCTTACGGGAAGCAATATAATATTTTTTTTAAAACATCTCGTCCGTACTATCCGCCCGTGCCGACCGGTCCCAGAGCGCGTCAAGCTTGAGTATATAATATGAATTCAATTAATTGAAAGAAATGGATACGTACTTAGATTCATCACAACATTCCCTTTACCAACAATAGGCAGCAGCAGAATACGGCCCGTAATGTTGTATTTGGCCAAGATGTGCACTTTTGGAAGGGTCGCCACATAGGTCGTCACTCGTTCCTTAGTTTGGAACCTAGAAAAAGAGTACATTATAAAAACAATAGAGATACAATTGCTTTGAATACCGAGAAATAACTAAAATTTCAGGGTTCATTATATTAACTATAACTGTTGGTTATTGCGGGATATGCAGGGTACCAATCATTAGTGTGTCAACTTATCAAGCATTAAAGGGTTTAACTCATCTAGTCGTTCAGATGAACAGAGAATAGTGAAAGAGCTGAAATAAAAAAGATCTCCATTACGTTATTTTATCAGTGTCCATGACTCATTGAGAGAATGCTGAGATAGCCCCTTGTTTTTCTTCTGGACATAAATGTAGCTTCACTATGCACACAGTTTTGTTGAGCTTTCATTTTTATAGTTGTGGTAGGATTATAGCCGGGAGAGAGGGTTACTATTATGACAGCATCACTATAAAATCAAATCTATTATTCGTTTACTGATGAAAATTAGTATTACACGGGCGTGAAATTATAGTTTTCAAATAACCTCGCTTTGTTGGTGCCATCATTCTTCATTCAGCTAGACCGGGACGTCCTAGGTCCAGTCTCGACGAGGGCAGGATTTTCAACATTAGCTTGTCAGAAAGGTCGCAGTCAGAAGGAAATTTTTTGCGACCGACTGTTCTGATTGGTAGTTTTCCGTGGTTTCTCCAATCAACAGCAGGCAAATTCAAGATCAGTACGCAACGGGCCACGGACCGCACGCCATTTTTTCTTCCTCTTCCTTCTTCTTATCACCACCCCTTTACACACACAACTTCTCTATCTTACATGACCGGAGACCGGTCGAGAGCTTACAGCTTTTCTCGGCTGGGGCGGTACACCGCTGGTGGGAGATACCTGATTAGGGAAAACACCTCTAGGCAATGGCAGGTCACCACCGGATCTCGCTATCGAGCGAGAGAATACCACTGCCGTCTTCAGAGCAAAACATGCACTACACGTACGGTACTAATGTCCCTTGTACGTTGACACGCCCGGAATCACTAACAACCAATCAATCATTCAACTATTTACAGTAAAAAAGTTGGGAAGAGAGTCTGAACCGCACGAAAACGTGCGCAGATTATGCTTCTCTCTCATGAGTCATATCCAGTTTTCATGTTTTTTTACGAAAATAAATGTGAAAATGTGTGGTGAAACTCACGTTGTACTGTTGATAATGATGTCGGGAATGCCGTAGAGGTTGACGTCGGACGCAATGAGCTGCATTCCCAGGGGCCCTTTCCCATCGATCACCACGAGGCGGTCCAGATACAGCGGGTTGAGGACAGGGATCTTGTAGTTTTCGTCACCTGTCAGCGCCGAATGGCAATCAGATAATGGGAAATTATACACCAATCCAAGAAAGGAATACAGTAGTTTGTGCACAATTAAATTCTATCCTCCATGTGAAAATAATCTACTGATTTTATATCTTAGGACTTAAAATAATCCTGAGTACCGTAACAAAACGTGCTTGGTAAGGTCTAGACTGAAGCACTCTCAGCAATATATGATGTTAGTAGCGATATGTAATTGATATGTCTGTAGAGAAAATAGACGTGTTGAGTAAGTTTATTGCATTTACAATCGGCAAGTTTTGTGTTGTCGTGATTTACGATTTTAAAATCTATTTTTTTTCGACTCATTTGGACCACATACAAGGGGGGTCCCATAACATCAGAAATTTACCTCCCTCATGGTGGATATTTGTCAGAATTTGATTAGAGAGCTACTTCCGGTCGTCATTATCATTACAATGGTGGTTGTTTGCCGTAACATTCAGCAAATAGTAAAATAACATGCGTATGCAGGGTAACTTAAGTTATCTGATGGTTAATTTTAAAATAAAAATTAGCGTAATAATAATATGCGTAATAATAAATAAAAATAAAATAAAAATAATTATAAAATAAAAAAGCATATGCGCTATTTGAAAAATGCGCCCCTCCCCCAAAACATTGTTTTATTTCGTTCAGTACTTATCTACGGCTGATGAGCTGAGGGCACATTCTCTATCATTATAATTATTATTATCTAAGAATAGAAAGTAAAATATGTTTCTATATGCAATAACTAAAGAGTTATTTATATATATATACAATATATATATATACAATATATATATATACAATATATATATACTATATATATACAATATATATATACTATATATATATATATACACTATATATATATACACTATATATATATATATATATATATATATATAGTATATGTATATACTATATATATATACTATAGTATTATACTATATATATATACTATATATATATACTATATATATATACTATATATATATACTATATATATATACTATATATATATAATCCTATATATATATACTATATATAATAATACTAATATAAACTATATATATATATCTATATAATACTTTATATTATATACTATATTAAATATACCTATATATATATATATATATATACTATATATATATACTATATATATATATATATATATATAAGTCAATTAGGTTTTCCGTCCAGTTACCCTAATATTTTGAGAAAATGCTGAGATAGTCTTTTATTTGCTTCTGAACATAAATGTCGGTACGGCGCTGTTGCGTCAATGTGAGCCTTCAGTTATTCAATTCTTATATAGTAAGTGGAAATTATAATTCAGCAATTAAAAACATTTCCTTGAACATAATTCTTCTTTGTATACTGTGTTCTGATATTCATCTCTATTATGAATTTCGGATATATGCATTAATTGCATAACATTCGAATTTCGTAAGTACGCAGCCTTGCGAGACGAGTCAATAATTTTTTGAGCACCTTGGTAGGCTGGAGAGATACAAAAATTACTATTAATATGTTTGGATTTTGACTGAAAATGCATATATTTTATAATTATCAGCAATCTCTTATATCTGGTGTTACCACTACATTCCCACACTCATTGCGCCACTGCGTATGGACAATGACGTCATGCGACGAAGAAAAAAGAAATTACAGCATTCACGCGTGGGTTTCAAAACACCAATTTGTGCTGCTTCAGAACCTCATTTTCCACACATAACAAAAGCATGTTTGTTTTCTGGGGCCACTTACATATTATTTCTGTCTACTTTGATATAATACATCCTCCTCCTTACACTTTTATGTAATTACTTAACATTCCTGCCTCCGACATCTCTTTTAGAGCTTCTTTCCACTGATTTATGTCGCCCTTCCTCATTGAAACAGCAGAGGGTGTGCTGTGGAGTGATGGGGTGGGGTGGGGGTGGGGACGGGGAGCGCTGACCCTTTGAGGACGCGCAAGGCATCACTTTGCGCGCGCTCTGCACGGCCGCACTCCGCTGAGCGCGCCGATCCCGAACTGCTTCAGCTGCATGGCTTGCACGTACTCCGCTTGCAACACAAACAGACACACACTCTCATTATTATTATTATATTATTATTATTATTATTTATTATTATTATTATTATTATTATTATTATTTTGTTTGTTATTTAAGGTCGCATCAACTACTAGGTCATTAGCGATATTATTATTATTATTATTATTATTATTATTATTATTATTATTATTACTATTTAGCGCGAAATATAGGCGATCAAAAAATTAATATTTGCGTTTTCATAAACTGCTCAAAATTTGTTCTCTAATTTTTTCACGGATAGAAGAAGCGATCCTTCAGAAAATGATGCAGGACTAATTGTCATTAAACTCTTTGAATGAAAATTGTTAATTTAGAAATAATGCGAGAACACCTGTGCTCTTGAAGCACCGCTAGTTTTTGGTTAGTGATTCCGGGTGCGACAACTATCGCGGTCATTAGTTCCGTAAGTGTAGAGTAATTCTTTTCGTCGGGAGGTGACGATGCTTTCCCCCCGCTGCATGGCGAGATCCGGCGCCGTTCCACCGTCGGCTAGCGGGGTTTCTCCCAAACAGGGATCTCCTACCAGCGGGGCACCGTCCCAGCCGGTATAAGCTCTTGGCTCCCAATAGGTCCCCCGGTATGTGTTGTAGGGTAAATCATGTTAGTTTAAGTGTGTGGGAAGAGTGGGAATCTGGTATGGAAGACGAAGGAAACTCTGGGATTCTTCTGGTGTTCGAAAAAAAACTGTTTCGGCGGAAAACTACCGATCAGAGCAGCCTGCCTCTAAAATTCGTCACCCGATAGCGATTGAATTCGACCTAGCTGACAAGCTAGTGTTGAAAATCTAGCCACTGTCGATATTCGAACCGAAGACCTCCCTAGCTAAGGCACTGCAGTGACATCAGTTGATGCCCTGAACCATCTCTCCCGGTACCACTACTTATTGAATGATACCTTTCCGTGAAACATTGCTCATAACGTTGCACTAACATATCTAAAGCAGTACTGCCGTGCAGTTCTTGGATCGAAGGATCGCAGGTTCGAGTCCCGTTTCGGACACGATTTTTTTTGTGTCTCTGTATGTTTCTCGTTGTTCATTTCATTTTTTTCATTATCATTTCACCCCATCTCCCTGTACTAACAACCCTGCGATTAAAAACAGATTTAGCGTGAAACCCCTCTCCCCTATAAACAAGAAATTGCTAATTCGTGACCAAAAAAAGTCTTCAACTGTGGCCCAGGAAATGGAGGCCATCGCAAGGGCTCCGTGACCGATGTGTGGGGTGGCTCTGCTTGTCAACACAGGTCTAACGTAGGAGGAGGGCGTTGCGATTCCAGAGACATTTGCGGAAGAAAAGACATTTCTGAGAAATGACACATTGACTGCAATCATGTGACAAGTAATGGACCTTGCATATTAAAGGAAAGGTACTAAAAATCAAAACAGTATTGAAATCGTTATTACTTTTTGCATTAATAACTTAATTTAATGGGGGGAAACGAAAATATCCTTTTAATTATTTGTTTAGGGCCGATGATTCTATGGCATGCACCATAAATTTGAATAGGGTAATTTATTGAAATATTAAATCAAAATAAAAGAGTACATTTATTCGTAATAGTAACAAAAAATAATTTCACAATATTTTTTGAATACTGAAAAGAACAATACATTTAACTAATTTACACATTTTTAAGAACAGTACCTTGGTTTACCTTTTCAAATAACAATAGTTCTTCCTTTATGTCTAATTTCTTACGTAGACCTCACTGCATTGGCTCTCCCAAATATTCTAGTCCATTTACGCTCCCGTAGTATTGTCCTCAATCAAAATACCCCTCCAATATCGCATTGCCTACCTTGCATTCAAATTCTCCACTGACCCAAGAATCTGACTTACATGCTCTTTCAATCATTTACGTCATTCCAGACCTCCATTTTCTCTCTGGTTACGTCAGTCTTCCTAAGTCGCCCGTTTCCATGACATTACTAAACTGTATTTTATCCCAGTATGCCATGTTTATACATTTTATTTTGATGCCAAATTTGGAGGAAATATCACCTCTAATTTCGACTCGTAACAGTATACAAAGTTCTACACAAATTCACATGAACTTATATAACTTTCTTGACCAAAATTCACATGAAATAATAGGGCCTGAAGTCCAAATTATTTCTCGCGAGCCCTCCCGGCTTATTAACTAGTTTTCAAGGAGAGATTACGTAAATATCCTTTAAAATGTGGCGTTTCTCAGCAGGTTAACCTGAGCGATTCAGCTCGTATCGCCTATCCGTTCGCAATCGGTTGGAACTAACTTCCTGCGGCGCACCACTGCATGGTATTCTGTTTTGCGACCATCACTACTCAATCAACAACCGTCATGTGATAAAACAATTCCAATACTGCTTGAAATATACAAAAAATATTGATGCGTTTCAAATTAAACAAGAAACAACAAAAAATGGAAGATCCAGAATAGCTGGTGTATGTGCTGATTGTGGAAAGAAAAAAAGTAAATTCGTAAGAATATTGAATATTCGAGAAACTATTAATGATGAATTACATAAACCTATGCGAAAACATTTTCCAATTATTATTTTCAAATTATATTATGTTGAGTTTGTGTGTAAATGATATTGAGGTAAAATGTGATTTAGAAATTACTTGGTTCATAAAAATCAACGCCTCAAATACATCTAAAGATGATATTTTTGGATAAAATGATGAAAATATTAGAAAAAATAAGTATTTTATTAGATTTTACTAAAAAAGGCAATATTTAAATAGCAAACAATTTGGGTTATAAAAAACGTGGTCGAGCAGGCCTGTTTTCTATACTACTGACACCATTATTAGATTTTCCCCATGGTAGCTCGGTTTTGCGCGTAGAAAAAAAGAACCCACTATGAAGAGAGAGCTCCTCCAAAACAAAAAAAAGCTGAAAGGGGAAATAAAGCCAGGTTTCCAAGTTAGAAGTTGCAACCGGAATTTAATTAAGGAATTCCATTTGGAGAATAGGAACAGCACCATGCAAGAATGCGGTTTAGTATATAAAAAGAAATATACCTCGAACATTTACTAAACAGTTCGAAATATTAAGTTGGAATTTTCACCAAACGAACATTTTACAAATAGATCTTAAAAACAAATTCAGGAATATGATGGTATTTGATGAAAATTTACAACCAAATAATACCTAGTATCCAACGTTACAGCAGGTTCGGAAATAAGAGGCGCGTTTGGCTAACCAAAGGTTTCTACAGCGTCTACCGTTCGACGGTTCAAAACGCCAAGAATAAAAAGTTGTCTACCGTATTTTGTGATGAATGAATGAAATTCTACACGATGATACACACGTACAAATGGAGATAATCTAGAACTCGCGAAATATAAGCTTGTCGCATACAGGGAGTGAATGACGGTAAGAGAGCAGAGCAGAACAGAGATGTGCAACCTCACGGTTTATCGCTTCTGTGGAAAGTTGCCGTTCAAAATTAGGCATTTGCGTTCAACTTGTGTTATAGCGGACTTATTTTCAGAACAATTTCATTTTAATGGTTTAAGGAAAATTCACGTATTCATACTGAGGGAAATTGGATAGTTACATTAAATAAAATTTTAGGTGATAATATTTCCGTCATTGAAGAACATGCAAACTAATTGAATACGCTCTTGCAATGGATTATAGCGAAAAAAAGTTTCCGTATGCTGGCTGACTTCCAGAGGACTCCCGAAACCGTTCGAAGTAGAGACAACAGTCTCACCTTGCGACTAGACAACATTTCAAACCAGAGGTGCTACAACAGCTCATATTTCTCGCTTTATTTAAACTTTTGCATTTTCAAAAGTAGTGGTGCTACAGAACCGAATAGACTTTCCCATATTAGTTTTCTATTTTCTTTGGTCTCTACTAGCTATTCGAACGTGCTTCATACTTTTGTCTTCTGCCATCTATCGCTGCCCAAAGCAATTTTTTTAAAAAAGAAGTGTTCTTAATTATTCGGTTTCTTAGTGGTAAAACGGGAATGTTAGGGAGAGGGAGAGAGAGAGCAAAGAGCGAGGGAGTGAGAGCGAGAGCGAGGGAAAGAGAGAGCAAAGAGCGAGGGAGAGAGCAAAGAGCGAGGGAGAGAGAGAGCAAAGAGCGAGGGAGCGAGAGCGAGGGGGAGAGAGCGAGAGCGAGGGGGAGAGAGCGAGAGCGAGGGGGAGAGAGCGAGAGCGAGGGGGAGAGAGCGAGGGGGGGAGAGAGCGAGCGAGAGCGAGGGGGGGGAGAGAGCGAGCGAGATTGAACGTGCGCGCGCGTATAGGAGTGAGAATTATGCGCTGTTTCGGTATCGGGGACATACAATACCAAGTTTTCTGCCAAAAAATCCCTGCGGCATTCTCTAACTTTCTCTATACTACGCATGTAATATACGGGAATGTAAGTTTTAACGAACTCTGCAAAGGAATATGATCTAAAATTTTGGAAGCCTATTTTGCATTTTTCAGCTTCCTGTTTTGGTAAGTAACTGAGTTTTTATATAACTATTTCTGGGTTATTTATTCGTTTAGTTCACTTATAAATGTTCTTGTTATATGTAAGCTGTTAACAAGGTTTATATTCCTTGCTAATATTATTTCTCACAATCAGTTGCCGTGCTTGCAATATTTCCGCGCAACCCAATTACATAGCTACCCTGGTAGCCGATAGAGGACTTCGAAGTAATATAGTAACATGGCTCCTTGCAAACATTCTCTCTCACTCACTCTCCTCCATTCTCGACATTGTGCCCTTCTTTTAGAATGTAGCACAAAGCTCATTTTGCTCGTTTCTTTCGCCATAGTTGGCAATGGACTTTACTTGATCCTGAAGT